TAGTAGGAATTCTTTAGACGAAGAGCGCGCGATAGCCGTTGAAAGAAAAATACCCTGGCGATCAGGCACTTCATCTGCATGAGGGAGTGACAGGGGGTGGTTTTCAAGGAGGGGGAATGTAGGCCTTCTCGGGAAAGAGGAAGGAGGGCGGGGAGATAGGCTGTCATTGTCATGTAAGGAGATGCAGGGGTTGAGGGGAGGGGTAGGGTGAAACTGTAGCAAAGATACTACACCCTAGTGTACTATCTTTGACTGTAGTGCCATGGTTTGAAAAGGTGCAGTCAGATAAAGAGTCGAGGTGCATGGTGGGGAGGAAAGGAAGGGGGGGGGAGTATGATGATCTCATTTGGGAGGGAGGGGTGGGTAGGTGTAGAGAGGGAGAAGTTGGGCAGCGGCTTGCGTGGTTGCGTCGTAAATTTTAGATCTCTGAAATGGGGCTCATCGGTGTAGAGGCCAGAGAGTGTTTGATCTGAGCCCAGGTTCCACATCCACTTGGATTCTCTAAATCTAATGTTAAGATTTTCTTTTGTAGGTTTTTTAAACAATCTCTACACCCTGAAGCTGCATGTCAGTTGTTCCGTTGTGCCCAGGGCTATTAAAATGTTGGCCGACCGGGGTGCATTAGTGGTTTTGTACAGAGTACCTGTGATTGTTAAATCTAGCACTAAGAGGGGTGGTAGTTTGTCCTACATCATATTGGGCTGAGCATATTTTCCATGTTATTAAAAAAATGACATTTTCTTTGTTTCGCAGTTCATATTATCTGCAAAGACTTTTTTTAAAGAGGCCCCTCTAGTCTGCATGGTTGATTTCTGTTATGTAAGGGCATGTTTTGCACCCAGGTTTCTTCATCATCATCATCACATTGTTTATCACAACACCTGTCCTTCGATGTCCCATTTTTTTCGATAGACCGCAAATGATCGTGTTAGTTTGTTGGTATTTAAGTGCTTAAATCGGTTACTTGCACTCTTTCTAAATGTTCTATGGTCTGCTGGGGTACTAACATAGGTTGTAAAGCTCATAGAACTTGCTGTTGAGTGGGGATATGCACAAATGCTATTACTTTGTTCATGTATTCTTGCTATATTTCAGCCTAAGTCATATCGATGATCATCACACATTGGTGTTGCCCCATCATCCCTGTTCACCATCACTGCATAAAAGTGTTTCCCTTCCACACGTTATCACTGTCAGTTATTGTTTCACTATCATCACCCGCATTCACTATTATCACATATTGTTACATTATCACTCGTGTTCACCATTCTCGCAGATTGTGTTCCTGTCGCTCGTATTTACCATTATTTTTACTTCCACACATCATCACCATCACAAATAATGTCTCTATCACTCGTATTCATCATGTTCATATTATTGTTTCACTATCACTTGTGTTTACCATTCACATGGATCGTTTTACAACCATACATCATCGTCATAAAATTAATATTTCACCACCATCCTTGTTCTTCGCTATCCCAAACTGTTTCGCCATCGTCTCAGTCCATCGCCTTTAGGAGAAAAATAGTTAAATAATTCCCCATCCCCTTTCAAAAGTTAAAAAAAAACC